AGAAGGCTGTGATTTAGTGCCACTGGCCTGGCCCAAGGACACAGAGCTGTGGCTGATCACAGGACAAACCAATACATCATATTGCAGAAGATTTACTTTGTTCCCCGGGCTGGACTCATTACTGGGAAACAGGAGGCCTGTAAGGAGATTTGCTCTCCAGAGAAGCTGCATGCTTTCCAAACAGATGAATTTTTGGAGAACCCCAGACCAGCCGAAGCTGGCAGGGATCCCCAACCTTGCCCAGTGCAAGCACCACTGGGAGCAGAGCCAGCTGGAGCGGGATACTTTGGGCCATGGTCAGCTGCTATCACCAGACACCCAGGCTGGGGGAATAAGCCATGCCAGATAGGAGACCCCAGGGAAGCTGTGCCTGCTCACAGCAGCTGCTGCAGATGGCAGCAGCCACTGCCTGAGTGCTTTCTTCCCTGTGCTGTGAGCAAGGCAGGAGCCTGGGGCTGGAGGAAGGGGAGCTGTAGACATGTGAGGAGCGAGGCTGGGTGCTGCTGCCCTGCCCTGCTCCACCTTCTTGGACCACAGTTTCTGCCTCTTGTGCCTCTATTCACCCACATTTCCCTGCAGCAATGAAGAGCAGCAGTGTTGCACCCCAACACCAGCTCGTCCTCGACTGCCAAAGCCTCAGTGCCTTGTTCAACAGCCTTGGGGCTGCACTAACAACAGGCACTGATTGCTCTCCCACCAGGGACCAAGGGGGCCCCAATGCCCTCAGCATCTCCCTGTGAATCCCATCCACCAAAAGGGAACTTGACATATAGAGAGACTACAAAAGCTATCTCATCTGGTACCAGGCTGGGAGTGGCAGTCAGCTTTCACTTAGCTTACAAAATTTTTGGTTGCTCTTGATTTTTTATCCGTCATTTTTAGCAGCCCATGAGAGGAGAGCAGTGGGGACAACAAGCCTCAACTTAGTTCCAATATTGCAAGGGGAAGCTGCCTCTCCCTCAGCAACCCCAGCCAGTGTGGGGGTCTTGGGTATCCCAAGTACCAGGGAGAGCATGGGGGAAGCCACATAACGCCGGACTGACTCTGACTGCAGTCACATCTTGTGACAGTCCTACAGGGCACACTCACATCAGACATCTTGGACATGAAGGAGCTCCTTGGGAGCAGTCAGACAGGGTTTGATGCCATCTCCCCATGAATATATTAAAATAAGCATCAATTTCACAGCAACGCTTACTCTAAGGCACCACTTCCCAGTGGGGACCTGGCCACCTGCTGCAGGCCACAACTGCCACTTTAGGGATAGAGAAATCATTTGGCATTCGCAGGATGGCACGTTACCTGACTGCCAACAACCTCCCTTTGCAAGGACAGCTATGCTAAGTGACCCTGAATGAAGGCTTCAGGCAGAAAAACTGTACACAGGACTTGGTGACAGCTGGCTGGGGACATAGGGTCTCATCAGCCTCAGCTGTGGAAATGGCTTTGAGAAGAAAAAACTGCGGGGCTGGGAAGGCTGAAAATGCCACAGCACTGTCCAAGGGGACCAGAGACACGTGTACAACAGATCAGGTGGGGCAGCATCAGCCCTGAGCACTGTAATACAAACCCTCCCCCTAGTTTTGGGGAATGGCACTAAACCAAAAGCTGGTCAGCTGTGCTACAGCTGCCTGTTCAAAACCCACCCTTCATGCTTTGCCTGGTGGAGTCTGAACCAGCTCAGTCCATGCCTCTCTCCTCAGTTTTTTGCCATGCTGGGGCCTGTGTGACTCTGCTGGGATGTTGCTTCATGCTCCAGGAGTTTCACTGTGCTGCTCCCTCAGGGCACACACGGCCACTGCAGCATGGGGCTCCTGGTGGGGACCTCTTCCTCAGGAGACTGGAGACCCTTTCGTTAGGAATCTGGGGGCAATGATGAACCATGCCAGTAACACAAAATCAGGGACATTGTGAGGAGCAACACTGGCAGAGACTACAAACAAAAAACCAGGAATTGTGTCCATTTAAACAAAATGCACTGCAATGTCCTTAAGCATGAGGATGCCCTTTAAAGAAAGGGCAGGATGTGCCAGCAGAGTAGGGCTTGGCTCACCCTGTTCCTGTGCCTTGTCACCATGCATGGACCGGCAAATGCAGCCAGGAATAGAGAGCTGGCCATGGGAATCAAGGCTAATTCTCTCTATATATGTCTTCTTGATAGATTAAGCAGCAAACAAAGTGCAATGCAGCACCCAAGAAATGTAAAAAAAAACCAAACCAAAATTGAACACGAAGCCTATGAATCTGAGTCCTGAAAAAAACCCCCACCTTTTAGAGAGAGATTTAGACCATTCAATCTGCTGCATCCTCAGCCCAGTGCCATCTTCTGACTTTGCTTCTCTCCACCCAGGACAGCTTGGCACTCCTGTCATCACATGGTGGCGTGGCAGAGGTAGTATGTCCCCACACTCACTTCACTAACCATCCTCCATACCTTATGCCCTGTTTCCTTCCTCCAGCTCCTCCTCAGGATTTGCTCCTTGCTCTTTCTGCCCATGTTGCCTTGGCAACCTGGTGCAGTCTCAGTTCCGCATATCACCTTGATTATGAAGTTCAGTTAATCCAACCCTCTCTGCCCTAAAACTGCTCATGTATCTCCATCTCCCTGATGGGCCCCCAAACCCTCACTGCTCCTTCAGGCATGGACCCTCCCCACCTCTTCAGCCCCCCTTCTCCACCCTTAATGGTATTTAAATAACTCTTTCCAATGGGGATGGATACATCCCCATTGGAATGTTTTTCTGAAAGTGGAGGGACTTTATTTTTCCTTCTCACACCTGAGCTCCCCCCAAGGGATGTGCTCCCCAGCACCACTGTGCTGCAGCTTCTACACTCCTTACACCGTGCACAACTCCTGCACCCTTATGAGGATCTGTTTATTCAAATCCATCTTCTGAAAAATGATCCATAGAACACAGCTTGCTTGGAAGCCTTTCATTTCCCTGCCCCCTTTTCTACTTGCAATAAAATGCACCTAAGCCCCTTGCTGTGTGGTGACAGGGTTAATGTGTAAAAAGACTGCAGGCAGGTCATTTTGGATGTTTGATCCTCTTTCTTCCTTCTGTTGTACAATATACATTTTACTGCTCCATATAAAACACCCTGCTCTTCTTTTTGGCATTATGGAGTCTATTTGAACGTTCAAGGGATATCACAGTACCCAAAATCCAAGTGTGCTAGCTAAGGCAAAGGTCTCACATGTCAGAACAGATGGATCTTTGTATCCTCCTGAAATCCACACCCCAAAATCTCCTATAAAAGTATTTAACCAAACTAAGCCCACACTTCCCTTGGGACTTTTCTGTCAAAATTAAGATGCAGAAAATACTTCTAGTAGTTCTGCAGTTAAATCTCAAAAGGCAAAAGCTTTCCAAACTTCAGGTCTATGCAGAGCTTCTCAGTTAATCACACACACACACATGTGCACACACACATGGGTACCAGGTAGGTCACACATATTAAACAAACAAGTGAAAACCTGCCATGGAGACCAGTTAACAAACAGCCCCAGGATGTGACTGGTGGAACTGCTTATGGCAAATGTGCATGACTGCTTCCCCACAGATTTCAGCCGGTTGCCTGACGGGTTGAATGTGTTAACCTCTCCATCAGGAAAAGAGTTGAGACGCCATTCATTCCGGGTCAAGTGAATGTGCTGGAAGTGAAACTGCAGCAGCTTGAAGCACCTGAGTGCGTTTGTACAGGGAGCTCTGACTGGAGGGACACCAGCTCAGGGGATGATCAGTGGCAGGTCTCTTTGACCAGCCCAGCACAACTCAGCAGGCAACCACCAAGATCAGAAAAAAAAGGAGAGTTACATTAAACTGAGACACTTAACTTTAAGTTCCCCACTTACTTCCTACAAACTGTAGCAGCCTTGAAAGCAAGAACTTCGTGCCACGCATAAAGCAAAAGCTGTGCAACACTGTATGGATGACTTTAGTTCAGATGCAGCACCACCCAACCCTGATATCTGCGGGGTCTGATCCTGAAAATGATCACAAAGGTTTGGAGCAAGTACTGTTACTGCCTGCAGTGCAGTTCTACAGATGGCAGAATGCATGTGGCAAAAATCAATCCATCAGTAGTTGTTTTGTGATAGTAACTAGTGCAGAGGGAGATGGGAGAAGGCAAAAAATGGAGCATTTGACAGCAGAGCCACCAGATTTTCATTATCCCACAAAGCTGCCATGTGGTTTTGGTGACAAGTAATATCATCACCTTTATAAGCACTATCAGCCAGAAAGCTAAAACCAGAAGCTGTCAGAGCACAATGACAAGCTTCCTTGCTCACCTCCTGAAGATAAGCGCCGCCACAGATACTGAGCAGTTTCCTGCTGCCAGCTTCTCCTCTTGGCTGTGATCTTTCTGCATCCTGGACCAAAAGGCTACACCTCTGTCAGAGCCAACTCTGGATCTCGCAAGGATTCAATCATGGTATCTGTGGCAGGTGGAGGTAACAGATCCAATTTCCACTTGGTCCAGTGGCTGCTGTTCCTCTGCTGCACTGGGGAGCACAGCCAGGGCAGCCCCCAGCACAGCACGGCCATGGTCATGCTGCTCTTGACTAATCATCCCACTGATTCTGAATAAAACACAAGGCTAGGACATTTCCCCATTAGAAAACAGCAATTTTTTTTGACTGCTCTTTTCCCAGTCAATTATCAAGTCTGATGGCATAAACTGCTGTCAGGAAACTGGTCTGTTTGGGCAGGGAACATCAAAAACCCAGAGGGGGTCATTGGGACAGTTGGCAGCTCTGCATAGCTGCATGCAGCTCTTCAAACAAATTCTCCAGAAAGGAAGGAACACTTACCTGGTGTACCCATTATCACAGAACTGCTCTCTGATTTGAAATACATCCTATTGAGATCATATTCGAAGTTATTCTTACCAGGTAAGCCCATAGCCTATTTGAGCTCATTTTGTTGAGCAATGCAATGCTGCAACTCTAAAAGGTGACCCAAATACCCAAACAAAGGAAACCTTGAGAAAGATTCTGTAATTAAGTATCTCACCTTTTATTTTGTTCATTTACACTTCTGGCACTGACAATTCTTTGAAGATATTTATTTTCATTAAAGCAATCAGAACAGAAGTCAATTAAATAATTTTACATCACTTAAGTTTCAGAAAATGTACAACACTTTCATACATTATAGGCTTGACTGGTTGGAAATGGAAATGGCACATGTTTGACATGGTTAAGAAATGACTTGGACAACTCAGCAATTAGTTTTGCCAAAACCTGTTTTGTACTGAATACCGTAACACGTGCCCAGGGATTACAGTGTGCCTGATGGCACCATGTGCATGTTATTATTCAGCATGGAATTACTACTATCAGTTTAGTCTCCAATAATGTCTCAAATATTCTACATGGCATTTGTCACTAAAAGATCCGGTTAACCATTCTGTAGAGGAGTGAGATTCACAACGGAAAGCAGGGACATGACTCGTGCCACTTCCCAGCGATGTCCCGGACCAGCAGGACACTGAGCACATGGAGAATATCAAGCATGTGAATAATCCTATCAGTTCCATGGGGACTACTCAAACAGATGGCAGGAGTGCACGAGGCAGGGCCTGCAGTGTAACGCAGCATCTCAGCACCATGAAACCATCTCGTTTCAAACCTGCTGGGGATCCATGAAGTTTCTCCTGCAGAAGTCACGATGATGGTCATACATTCAGTCCTCCCAAAAGTCTGTGCAATGTTTAAGGCAGCAAGAGAAATTTGCCTTTATTTTAACACTTCAGAAACAGATGGTTCCTTTAGAAATAGGTGGCTAATATTCATACTTAATCAGCACGCTCCTTATTTATACAAATGCAATGAAAGGTCAAACCAAATTTTGACAAAATGTTTCTCAACAAAATCAAGGAATGTAACTGAACCAGAGTTGAAACTTTAAAATTACATGTGCCAGATCATTCACATGTAACATACTGTCTAGGGACAATGTGAAAAAGTGGGGATTTAGATGAAGTCTGTATTCTTGAGGCCTGACGCTCGTCAAACTTCCCCTGGCATGAGTGAGCTCTACTAAAGCCAATGAATGAGCACCTCTGATGAGAGGTGTGAGTAAGATTAAAAACATGCCGCTGGTTCACACTAACAGGTCATTGTGGCTAAAGTATATTCTCATATACAGAACTCTGCAACACTATTAACACCCATTTACAAAACACTACAGTGATGGTTATTGGCACATAAAAAACTCCTTCTCTATATGAAAACATACACAAAATAGATAAGAACTGCCATTTTTTTTCAGACTTTTAAAATCTATATATAGTTGCCTTTGAGGAGTTTTAAACCCCAGTATCACAAACAACAATATTTCTTTAACAATGTTCACCTAGAGTTTTACTGTGCTGACATTTGCAACACTGCCACAATCTAGACCACTTGTGGATTATGCTTAACTGTGCTGTACACAAGGTGATGAAGATCGATAGAAAACCACTAAGATTTTTGCACAAAAATATGACTTGTTAAAATCCAGAGAACAACTGAGTCACTTTATAGGCAGCAGCTACATGTAAGCTGTAAATGTTACCCGCAATAAAAACACATTTTGCCATAAAGCACATATTGTGGCATTATCTGCTTCTGGCCTGGTACACAAAGCTTGATTTTCTTCCCAATGCAGAGGAATGGGTTTGGTTAGCTTGACTCTCTCAGAAAAAAGTGCACACATATCTTACTCTTTAAAGTGCTCTGAAAAACTGTCTCTTCTACCTGGATTTCTACTCCGAGATCTCTCTATCCTGTGAAAACTCTGCCTCTTTGCAGTAGTGATGTTCAGCTAACAAAGCCTCTTCTGCAAGTACAAGCAAAATTTCAAGAAGACCATGTTAGAAGAGCACTGATGTTGAGAAGTAGAAAGCTGGGTATAAAGCTGAGAAGTGCAGGGTCTATCTTTTATTAGCCCACTCACTGTCTGTGGGACTGCAGCAAATACCCCCATGGCCTAAGGGAATACCCTTGCTCAGGGCCTGTAGCAGCCTCTGAAGTTCAAAACTTCTCCCCAGTGCTCAGCCTGAGTGACTAAAGAGGCAGAGGAGATTTCACCAAGGAAAAAAGTATCAGCTTTGCCAATTCCATTGCCATGTCCTCACCTCCATGTAGGTATGTGAGAGGAAAACTTGTGAACTTCTTCCCCCTTAGCCTGACAGCCTGACCAATCCTATCCACAGGACCAAGCACAGTCCCTTGGCCTCACCATCCTTATCCCACATGGATAAATCAGGACAAATGACTGCTCCTGTTGGCTACGTCACACCCATCTACTGAAATAAGACTTCGTGGGGCTTTTCATGCATCATTTCTTTCTTCTCCCCTCCCAACCCTAACTCCTACATGAGTGAAATGTTGCATTTATCAATTCATGCAGAAACCAGTTGGCATTGGAACAATGGTCCTCGTATGTACTCTTTCTTTTCCCAGGATTTCTGGGACAATTTCCGCCAGGGTTGTCACTGCAACTCACAAGGTAGCAACGCCTACGAGAGCGACCTATCCAAGGTGCCTGCACAGCAACGCAACTTCAGCCCTCCAAACAAGTCCTGGGCCTTGCTCTGACTCTACATCTATTTCCAAAACAGGTTTGGTTCTCTTGTTAAAAGATTATTTTGATCAATGAAGTGCCAAGGGGAAGAAACAAGTGGCAAATTACCTCACCCCCCCCACCCCAATTTTTAATTTCAATGTGATGAACTAACTACTATATGTGACTTAAATTTAAAAATATTAAAAATGCATCAGGACCTGTTTCTTTTATACTTGTTGTTAGCTCACACGTAGAGTTGGTAGATTAATCAGAATTAAAATATCTCAAATCGTTGTGTATAATCAATATGCCCAACTCTACCAGCAGTATTATTCCAGCACTCCTGATGCACCTGAATACCTGAATTGTGTGCAGTCCTTATGAAGAAACAATTTCACATCTTCTGCAGAAAGTTTTCAATAAAAGAATTTTGTGCTTAGACATATTATTTATGCTACTTCATAAATTAAAATCTTATAATAAGAAATTATTCAGTTAAATTGTATTTTTATTCTTTTATCTGGAATGTTACTAAGTCTACCTTTAGCAAAAATCTCTTAAAACTTAAAATATGCATAAATATAAAAAATCTGCAAAATAGAAACATTTATCTAATTTTCTTAATAAACTGTAAATGTTCACAGATTCTAAAAATAAAACCCTAACTGTGTAAGACTAATTAGAAGTGTCTGATTTCACTTTTATTACACATGATGCTTGGTACTAGGCTCAGTGTTTCTGAAGTATGGAATGCTGTCTTGGTGTAAAGCAACCCTAAAAGGAAGACTTAAACCCAGCTCTCTGCGGGCACGAAAGGGGGAAAGACAATGAAGAAGTCAATGTATTTTGCACGTTTCAATTGTTATGCCTCATGAAAAAGGGCATGGGATACAAACCTGCAGAAAACTGTTTTCAGTAAGATCAAACTTGAGTGAGAAAGTGAGCCCAGTGCTGTGTAACTGAGCGCCACTTCTGAAAACGTCCATGAAACAAAGCTGGCAGAGAGAGACGGTCTTCTGCTGCTAAAAAGCCGCAGCACTGCCTGCAAAACAGAACAGGCTGACCTTGTGACTGCAATCTTTCCAGTGACTTTGCTTTAGCTATGCCCAGTAACTGCAGTGGTTTCCTCTCCCTGTGGGCACAAGTGCGAGGGCAGCACTGACTCGGGGCCACCACAGGGACGCCGGGTCCTGCCTCGCACCTGCTCCAGCAAAACACATTAAGCAAGGCAATGTTCACAGGTGTAAAGTGAGCATGGCCTCGTGCTTGTGAGGGGATCAGAACTGTAAGTCCCTATCCTCAAAAGCCAGTAAATAAATACCCACTTAAATACCCACTTAAACCTATCAACCACCTGAGCACAGGTTGGCTGTTATACACCTATTCACACACTGCTCTAGGTAACGAAACTGCCCCGAATAAGGGTCTTCAAACACATATTTTTTTGGCTTCAGAAAGAAACTAATTTGTCTTTAAAATGATTTTGTTCTTGTCTGTGCCAAGGATCCCTTTTTCTCTTTTCAGGTGCTGCACCTTCAGTGAAGGTTTCAGAGAGGTGACAGCCTAACGGAGCCATCCTGCTGCAGGGGCATTTGTAGATAGGTCTGAGGACCTGAGCATGTTCAATGGACAGGGCTGGAGATCTGAGCATTTTCAACAGCTGGTGCTTTCAAGCATAAAAATATTGTGCGCTTAAAAGGGAGGCAAGATGGAAGGTGTGAGAATCCAGCCCTCTCACCACACAGGAGACGTTCAAGGTCGAGTTGCTCTTTGCAATGATTCGTTTGAAATTCCCTTTGTCCACTGTTTTCCTCTTTTAGTCCCAGGCAAGTCACAGAAGGATGCTTTAAAATGTTTTCTTTCAAAAAATATTTCTTTGATTAACGAAGTAAAAAAGAAAACAAAACAAAATACACCCAATCCCTGAAGGTCAATAACTGTAGAGTAGGAACTCCCCCACAGAAGATTAGATAACATAAAGTCAGACTTCTTTACAACAACAAAAATTCATGTTATCCAATAAAAATAATCTAGTAACAAATGTCCAGGCTTGGTCTTGATAGTAATCCTACATTAAAAATATTTTTCAACCCAAGAAAACCCCACAAATCAAATCTATAAAAGCTAATGAACCCAATGACTTCTTTAATCTTTACACAAGGAAAAATAAATGTATTTTTACCAAATAAATGGGTGGCAGCCCACAGGCAGAGGAATTTTTTCCACATTCTTTCATGAAGCAAATGTTTCAAAGATAAGAATTTGAATTTTTGATGCTTTCAAACTCATATCTTTGATAACTTAAAGCAAGGAGGACAGGACAAGGAAAAAAATAACATAATATTTTTATGTAGTTGTATAAAATTCAATTTGCCAAGGCAAGCAATCATGGCAGGCGAATAAAACACCATTCACATTTTCATTACCATGCTAAAAGCAGCCAAGTTGATTTTTGTGCCTGACATTTTCTTGACAAGTTTGCAATGCTTTGGTAAGGCAATTAATATGAGATACAGGCTTCTGCCCATTGCTAATATTTCTCTTTAGATCTAGCAAGACACCGGTTGACTAAGGACATTTGAAGGAAAAGTGTGCTGGGAGTCATCTGCTCTGCACATATGGAGATAAACTGAAGGCAATATTTATTCACAAGCAGAAGGTGTGGGAGGGATGACCACTGTGCATTTAGCAGCACAAACCCTCTCCCCTCCTTCTCTTTCCCTTAGCTAACAAGATTTTATGTTCAAAACTAGGCACAAACCAGTATGTTCAAATGCAAAAAAGGAAAACAAACATAATTTTTTTTCTAACTGACGCCTCTGTGTTGTACCTAGCAATATATACCAGTTCATTTGTATGTGTGGCCACATACTGAGCTCTGTTTTCCTGCTGTCAGTAGTTAATTTTGGCGGTTTCTCTCACAAACACAAACTCCTGACCATAGTGTGTACTCAAGAGCAGCAGTGGGTCGATAGCCCAGTGTAGCACGGACACGTGCCAGCCTACTGAACCTCCATCCTGGTGAATATGGCTGTCTGCTTGGTACCTCAAATAAATAACAACGGGAATTCACTTAGGGTAAATTTGGGAAATGTTGCCTCTGATGGATGTAACAGATATTTGTATTTTCCCAATTGGTCAACCTTTTGAAATGGTTACTGTTACAGCAACTTATGCATTCATCCTTCGTTGTACTGCACAGCAGAGCTATGTCCTAGGTTGCAATGGGATGGGGATCTGACAGCTGTCAGCTGCTTTCTGATTAGCTACCAATTACTTTATCTTGTCAGGACTAAAGATAAGGACAGCGCCTGACCATCTAGGATAGCCTTCTGTATTCATCTGGTACAGTGCACCCTACTAAATACCTGGGGACGGCGCAGCGTTGTGCACACTTGGTAAAGTCACATAACTGTGAAATTCAACCTCTTTTGGAAGCCATTGCTTTTAGTTATCAAGAAAACACTAGCATATTGAATTTCCTCCAAATGGAGCATTTTTGAACATGAAGGCATTTTTAACTGCACAGTAGAAAGGAGAACCAGACCAGAAGCAGGGCAGTGAGGTCATCAGAGAGCTGCTTTCCCCCCCAGAAGGCTTTTAAATGATTAAATACATCAGCAGCTGAAAATTATTCCACATCAGAAGCATCATTGTCAGAAAGATGGTAATTACTTCCCTTCACCCGAATATACTCGATATACCTCCCTTCATCAGAATCTGACATACCACATGTACATAGCCTGTTTTCAAACAAAGACTCAATTTCCTCTAGTTTTTTCCCTTTAGTCTCAGGAAGGCAGCCATAGATGAAGATTAGTCCCAAGGCAGCAAACCCTGCGTAGAGGAAGAAGGCTCCTGCAATGTAAAACAATTGGCACAGTCAGTTACAGAGGTTCCCACCCGTTCTGTGTCTGAGCAGAGGGAGCGACAGAAGCAGGAGGTTGGGAATCAAAGAGTGTGTAAAAGCAAAGGCTGGAGGGACAGGATTATAACAACGAGCTGCAGGGCTGTGGGTGTAGAAGCAGGACACTTTATCGCACCATTCTGCAGCAAAGTAAATTAAAAAAGAAAATTTCAATTCATGCCAAAGATAATAATGCACATCCCTTCTGGGCAAGTCAGTCTGCTGTTAAAATAAACAGCAATTAGACAATCACATGCCCAAATAAAAAAATCATATGTGGAAGACAAGAGCTTTCTTAGTTTATCTTGACAGTGAAGGACACATTAAGACAACTCCTCAAAATGAGAAACTCTAGCAAAAGAATGAGTCAGGATTAAAATAACACTTGCAACTCTTACACCTCATTATAATTTAAAAGTCCTCTGTAGAGACAATTAATATTGAGAAAGAGCTCATTCCCGCCCACGATCCATTATACCTAGAGGGGCAGAGAAGGTACCAAAGGACCAACAAACATTTACCTGCCATGTGTTGCTAGACTGATGGCTCAAAGAAATAACAAGTAGAGCTGAAAGGCTCTGTACTAGTAATGATGTGAAGGTCACATCAGCTGCCTGGCAGCTTAATGTAATTTAAATGACTTGTGCTGGAGTGGCTGAGCAGTAACCTGACAAACACTCCACAGGCTCCCGCAGACAGGACTTAATCAACACCTATATTTCTGCAAGGACCATCTGAAATTGGCCTTGGATGCCACCACGAACTGAAAAACTGCAGATCCTGTGGGAATCAGCATATTTCACTAAGTCAGAAGTGGGATTTTTTCCAGCTTCTCTGTTTTAACCAAATGTCTAGGTTCTCGGTTAAGGACAGAAATAAATGTTTTTTATGAAATCTGGGCCAAAGTCTATAATCCAGGCAGGTTGTATCAGATCTCCAGTCTTACTGAACCACAGTGGGTTGAGAACACTGCATTCACAGCTGACATTTCATAGCAAAACCAACTGAGGGGCCCAAAATCTGTAGAAAATCTCTGTGCCAGCAGCAGTACTACACATATGAACACATACTGTTACTTACCATAGTATGTCAGATATTCAGCTGTATGCAGAAACGTCAGTGACACGAGCACATTGAAAACCCAGTTGACTCCAGAAGAACATGCATTTCCTGTACTTCTAGCCCAAAGTGGATAAATTTCAGAATTGACAGTCCAGGGCATAGGACCCATCCCTAAGAATTAGGGAAAAAAGATCAATCTCAGTCTAATGGCTAGACTCAAAAGTAAATTTGACATGTAGCCTCACTATTTGATAATTTACAATTTCATAACTTACATGTGAAAACAAATGTTTGCTTACCAGGTGCAAAGAAAATCAAGTACAAAATAAGGCCCAGAAGTGCTGTCCAAGAGTATGGAGTGGGGCAGAAATTATATGCCCAAAACAAATCTTCCTTTTTGAACACTGTTTCATTTGAACACCTGAAAAAGAAAAAAAACTTTGTATTGAAGAATTTTTAAGGAAATAGGTGACATCTCAATATAAACATAGCAAGTAATGTCTTCGGAAAAGCTGACAAATGTACAATTAAGATAAAAAAGCTTCATCCCTAGGAAAATTTTAAATTCAGAAACATGTTTTTTTCTCAAACCTGGTCTTACGAAGAATAATCAGCAAAACATTCCTGAATTCACACACTTGCCTTGAATTTACAGATTTATGTCCAACAACCAGTCTTTACTACACAAGTGGTGATACCAAAACCAACAAGACCATTCACATGAACATCACACAGTACAAAAAGAGCTGCAGCAGCAGGACTTTGAGCTAAAGATGCTGCATCCAGGGATTTAAGGTCAGATGGAAGTTAGTCCTTACAGCCTTGATGAACTAACTATCTGCTGCACACTTTGTGTGTAATCAGTAATGTCTATGGAGTGTGCCAAGGTCAAGTGAAGTAAGGAAAGGAGGCATGTATTTTCTTTCCTACACATTTAAGAAAAAGGCAGAATTTCTAACTAACTACTCAAAAAAAAAGTGTCTCTATTCCAAGGACCATGTGGAAATTACACATTTTGAGGAATAGGTATAAAATCAGGTATTTCCATCTGACTGCCAACAATATAATATATTTTAAAGGAATACTGGTGACTTGAGTTTTTGTTACAATTTTTTTTAAAATTAGCATTTTTTTAAAGAGACAAATCATAAATGCAACTAGAGAAACTTTTCAGCTGCCGCCACATCAATTGCTACAGATGAAAAACCATGTAGTTTTGGGAGAGAAGACTTAAGCAGACACTACTCTTTCATATGCAAACAATGTTATTTACTTGAAAAGAAGAAATCACAGAGAGCTGAACATCTGCCTGGGTTATGATTTCCAGATCAGCTGGGCATTTATGTGAAGGATACGACTCTCTTGACAGTAGGGAAACCAGAATGAAGATGCCTGAAATGGGTGATATTCGGGCAACAGGTTGTGAGATGGTAGAGCAACAGACACCCTGAAATGCTTCAGAGGATCCATTACCATTGCAGTTGACTTTCAAGAGCAAATTCCAACAAAATACTTCTGCTCTAACTTTTCTGTTAGGAAACAACCAGCCAGCCCCAGGTTGAACAGGAATGTGCTAAGGACTGACGGCCAACCCACCACCACTCCTGGGGCAGAAATATTCCTTATGTCGTCATTGACGTATCAAAAGGACACCACTTAAAGCAGGATATCACTGTGAGGTCCCAGATCCAATTTCAGGACAGCTGGAAATCCAAAGATCAAATACATTTAAAGGAGAGATGTTAACCCAACAAATCGGACCTGCCTGTCTCGTACTGGCATTTTTAGCCACCAGTGCACTTGTAAAAAACGTGGGCAGAGCCTCTCTCAAATCTTCGTTCGTGAAGCCCAGCCATGAACCCAACAAATACTGGAAAAATGCACATGTGAAAAGTGGGCAAACTCTAATGTTGTTTTAGTGGCAGTAAGCTGTAAGATTTGCAGGTCCACCTTGCACTTGAGCAGCACCTGACCAAGTGGAGAAATGTTGAGCCATGATGGGCTGCCAGCAATGCAGCCAGTGCTGGTGTGCATCTTTCCACAGCTCTGCCTTGCTGAGCTCTCCTGGAAAGGCCATCTCATCCAGGGCATAGATTCACTTTCAGTCTTGATGTGAAAAACAAAGAGAAAACAGGTCAACTGAACATCTCTCTCAAAGATACATCCTTTGTGCCTGGATCCAGCAAGCTCATGGCCTCAGATGCTACCTGGCCACTGGAGCACCCATCAGCCTAAGACACCAGCAGCTTCTGTGACAGAGATTTTTCACCTTTTCTCAGCCAAAAGTACTGCTTCCCTCCTTGCTACTTCTTCATCTTGCTTCCAACTTCCTTCTTCTATCACTTTGCTCTTTCATGACTTAGCTCAGCATCTCTTTCTATGTTATGAGTGTGAGACATGGTTCATTCCCTGTTAGTGTCCACCCTGATGTTTCCCTACCACTATACATACTCCTCACTGCATTTGGGTTAAATCAGGCTTGTGCTGTGTCCCAGATACATGGCATACAGAAGACTGAACTGTGCTGGAGAAAAATCCATGTTTAAATTGTAAATTCCTTATGTGTTAAGGAAATGGTGTTTAAAAGATTAATTACTGAACACTCAGTGATCCCGTTGTGACCTCCTGCTCAGCCCTGCGTAGCTGCTCCCTCTGTGTCTGCCCCACTGCAAGATTAAAGGAGTGCTCAGTTTCACAGTTTTAACGTCATCACTTCTGCTTCATTTGCTGTTACTCTAATTTCATTTGCAGGTGTTTGTACTGAATACAAGCTGATGAGCATTTTAAAACATCTTGATGCTGAGATGGGCTTCTCCATTCTGCCCAGGCAGATTGGCAGCTCCTCAGAGAGTGCTCACGCTTTCTCTCAAACACTACTGTAAACAAAGACATACTTGGTTTATTATCTTGCATCCATCTCCATGAGCACAAACCAACCTGCTGATTCATACAGACACAACTGCAGGCAGGTCAGCATGTTTCCCTCCCCTGCCATCTTCCAGGTGTGTCCTACTTTTGACAGAGTGGAACACAAATGATACAAGGGAAAAACAGATGTCTCCGAAGTCTCCTATGGCTGAAGCCACTCATCTATTCTCTGCTGTCTGCCCATAACTTAGAGGAAATTTTTTTGCAAGAAAGTAGATTCAGCGCAATGAAACAGGAAAAACAGCACTGGAGACTAGATTTAATAGAAACCTTGCAGTAATGAACTGTGCTTTGCTAGTCCTTCAGTAGTAAACCAGCAGGGTACACAGAATAAAAGCAAAGACATCTGCATTTTCCAGCATCTTGCAGTGCTGGATACGTTCAAAAATAACACTCCTTCAAGGCTGGAGATTTGTTCAAGCTCTGCTACTGTGCTAATTCTACTGCTATACTACTATTTCTACAAGATTTATTATTCTGCTGAAGAATATATTAATAATTAGTGTATAAAGTACTATCAGATAAAATTATGAATTTTGTCCTGCATGAAGGGAGCATATATGATGGAAGCAGATGAGCAACTACCCATCGCTTCATGAGCTTAAACACACAGAAGAAAATGATAGAATCATAGAATGGTGTGAGTTGTAAGGGACCTTAAAAATCTAGTTCCAATCCCCCTGCCACAGGCAGGGACACCTTCCACTAGGTTGCTCAAAGCTCCACCCAACCTGGCCTTGAACACTTCCCAGGATGCAGCAGCCACAACTTCTCTGGGCAATCTGTTCCAGGGCCTCACCACCCTTTATAGTAAGAAACTTCTTTCTAACAACGAATCCAAACCTACCTTCCTTCAGCTTAAGGTCATTCCCTCTTGTCCTTACATGATCTTGTAAAAAGTCCCTCTCCAGCTTTCTTGTAGGTCCTCTTTAGGCATTGGAAATCTGTCTACCATCTTCTTGGAGCCTTTTTTTGTCCAGGCTAAACAACTCCAACTCTCTCAAGCCTGTCTTCATAGCAGAGGTACTCCAGCCTTCTGATCATCTTTGTGCCCTCCTCTGGACTTGCTCCAGCAGGTCCACATCTCTCTTGCACTGGGGGCCCTAGAGCTGGACACAGCCCTCCAAGTGGGATCTCATGAGAGTGGAGCAGAGGGGCAGAATCCCCTCTCTCGACCTGCTGGTCACACTTTTTTTGATGCAGCCCAGGACATGGTTGGCTTCCTGGGCTGCGACTGCACATTGCTATGTCACATTGAGCTTCTTGTGAATCAACACCCCCCAGTCCTTGTCCTCAGGGCCGCTCTTGATCTTTTCTCTGCCCTGCCCGTATCTGTGCTTGGGATCGTCCCGACCCACATGCAGGACCTTGCACTTGGCTTTGTTTAACACATGGGCTCACCCCTAAAGCCTGTCAAGGTCCCTCTGGATGCCATTCCTTCTCTCCAGTGTGTCGACAGCACCACACAGCTTGGTGTTGTCAGCAAACTTGCTGAGGGAGCACTCCAGACTACTTCCCATGTTGCCAACAAAGATCTTAAACAGCATCAGTTCCAGTGCTGACCCCTACGGAATGTTACTTGTCACCGGTGTTCACTTGGTCATTAAGCTGGTGACTGCAATACTCTGAGTACAACCATTCAGCCAATTCCTGTAAACAGCTTACAAGTGTCATGATACAGTCGGGTACCAGTGCAAAGAATTTGAATATACAATATACTGGGTAATACTCATTTTTTTGATAATCAATAAAAATTTTCCTCATACTTGACCCAATTTGGTTGTATAATAATTCTAAAGTGCAACACTGAGAACCACAGCACAGGAAATGGCTGTTCATGACAGAGCACAGGTACAAGACAGAGACCAATTTGATTTTTCTCTCCAATTTCCATTAATTTTTGCTTTGCTGTAGAGTGAGGACTGTGTAGCCCTAAAGATATGGCTTCTGTGAGAATTAAATGTTTCATTCTGAACAGTTCAAATAATTTTAATATGAAAGCTGTTGACTTCTCATTGTCTTTTAAGCCCTTCAGAAGCATCTTAAATGGATTTAGATCAAGTCTTAAAAGGTCAAAATTCAAATCAAGTCAGGCTAAGGAAATTACTTCTGAAGAAAATCACTAATGTGATCATTCATCTCCCTAAAATGCTTGTTAAAACACACATATTTCAAAATTACACATTCTGCTCTGAGATGAACTTTGACATCAGGTGCTGATGGCACTGAAAGATTTGAGAGCTACTTCACAGTTTCACTAATCCCTCATCTCTTTGTTCTGACAAGAGTAAAACTACTCAAGGACTGCTCTTATGCCAGACTTTTGTGCCTGGGTTATCAAGATGATGGTAATCTACAATTTGTCAACTTATTCTCCAGTGTAACACAAACATATTGGATTTAGAAAAAAACTCCTTTAAGGAGATTTTTAAAGTCTCCTGTGTACAGTGCTGACTTTTATATTATGCCAATCCACTGAACAATATAAATTTA